CGTACAGCAGGGGGCCGCCGCAGGGCGGAGGCGCGTACTTGCGGCGCAGGGAGCGGCTGACGTTCTGCGTCGGGTACCCCAGGAGCTGGGTGACGCGGCTGCCGCGCCCGCTGGCCTTGCACCCGGGCGCCTCGGCGTCCTCTCTGTGGAAAACAACAGGCGGGCGGGTGAGCGGGCTCCTCCGCGGCGCGGCGTGGGCACGGCCTGGGCAGAGCCGGCGGCTCTCGGCAACCTCTGGTCTCCCTCGCCTCCCGCTCTCCGCCTGGGCCTAAATCTCCTCTCTGCCCCTTCCCCGGGGCCACCATCCCCACCCTCCAGTCAGGCCTTGTCCACACGTCTGGACAGCACACGGCAGGCGGCCCCATCCAGGCGGCCCCCAATCCCTTTCTGAGGCTGGCGGAACCGTCTGTAGTAAGGAGGGAGCCCTAGAGATCCAGAAGGAGCTGCGTTCCTGGGCCTTCTTCCCTTAACTAAGCCGCCCCGGCCCTCTCTCTCCCTCTCTTTCCTCACTTCCTGCCCCTCAACCTTCCTCTTCCCCTTCATCCGCAAGGCATTGCAATCGTTAGCACTGCTAGTCTTGTTCTATTTTTATTTCTAGTTCGCTTCGAATATACGTTATTAGCACTATTCTTACTATTTACTCTTCTTAAGTAAGCACGTCCGCGTTCTCTCCGGCGCACTACGCGGGAACACGAGAAAACGTAGGCCCTGCCCTCCAGGAGCTTACAGTCTAGACAAGACCGAGAGGCGCAGAGACAGGAGAAGGGGTGGGGGCGGGTGGCGGGGGAGCAGAGGGAAGACTGGGAGTGCGGAGAGGGAGAGACAGAAAAGCCATGTGGCGAGTGGCAGGTCGACATGCTGTGGTCCCGGCAATCCATGGCGATGGCGGGCAGGGTTGGGGTGGGGGTCCCAGCCGGCCGGTGGCAGGCAGGGGTGAGGAGGGCAGGGCGCCGGTCCCCTGCCGCGCAGCAGCATGCAGCATGCATCAGGTTTTACCTGATCTCACTAGCCAAGTCGCAGGCCCCTCCGCCGACCCCGCCGCCGGCGTTGCCGTAGCCGAAGGCACCGCGGGCGCCGCCAGCCCCAGAGCTTCCGCAGCAGCAGCAGACGAGCCCCCAGATGCCCACCGCCAGGCAGGCCAGCGCCAGCAGAGAGCCCAAGACGGCGCCGATGATCACGCCCACACGCCGGGTGTCTGTGGAGAGAAGTGGAGGCCGGTTAGGCTTCTCGCAGCCTGGCAGATCAGAGTGTGCCAGGGCCGGAGTCTCTGGGAAAGAGGAAGAGGAACCCAGGGGGTCGCCGGGCCCTGGGACACTCAGTGAGGAAGATATGGGGAGATGCAAGATAACCCATTACGTCTCCATGTTTCTCCCAGGGCTTCCAGCTGCTCTGGGTAGAGGCCTGTGCACTGATGGCAGTGGAAAGGGAGAACAGCTGAGGCTCCAAAAGAGAGCCCAGGTGCCTCCAGTCCAACCCTCCCAGCCACGGGGCCCTCAGGGCTGCTGCACCTACCTGAGACCTTCACCTCCACCACGCAGACGCTGTAACCTACGTTGTTGGCCACTGTGCACTGATACAGCCCATCATCGTCCCGGGAGATGTCTTTCAACCACAGGTCCCCATTGATTATACCTGAAGTTGGAGTGTCAAAGGAGTGGAGTCAGGTAGAGAAGCCTAGTTTCTGAGAGCTCCTACTCCCTTTCCCCACCCCGCAGCCTCAGCTCCTGAGGGGTGGTGGATGAGACATCCACTCTGGAAGGAGGGAAGGCATATACACGCGCATGTGTGTGCACACGCACGCACACACACACACGTCCACTCCACTCTCCAGCTGAGTCGCTTCCCCCCTGCTGGGACAGAGAGGCAAGGAAGGACCCCTCTCCAAGCAGCAAGACAGAGACACCATTAATTCACTCTGCAACCTTAAGAAAATATGTCCCCCTCTCTGAGCCTTGGTCTCATTTGTACAGTGAGGACAGGGTTAGAGCAGAGGAACTCTAAGATCCCTTCTAGCTCTGTTATTCTTTGGTTGTCAATATTATTCAGATTCTCTACATACTGGGAGCTTTACACACCTCATCCCATTTAATCCTCACATGCCCCTGAAAAGCAGGTATCAGTATTCCCTTTTCACATATGAAGAAATCAAGGCATAGAGACGTTAATCCTCTTGCCTGAGACTTGCAGCTAGTCAGTGTCCCTGCCAGAATTCAAGTTCAGCTCTGTCTATTTCACACTGTGCTCTTTCCAAATTAAACATACTGCTTTTGACTGCCTCTCCACTTTTGCCTTTTCTTTCCTCAATAGCAGCTGCTGGGACAGGCCCAGAGGAGGAGTCTCCCAAAGAGGTTCCAGGTATGACTTGGTGTCGCTGATAATCCAGGGAAGCCCCAGCAGGTCCCAGAGTCCCTGATTTTCCACTCATCCCCTCTCCACCTTCGCCCGGGCCTCCTCACCTTGATTCATGGAGCTATGGAAGGACTCCTGGTAGGCAATCTCAGAGTGGAAGCTGTTCTGGGAGTGGTAGGACCCAGCTCGGTAGGGGTGAGCGTGCCCACTGATCTTGGCCCACTTGTAGGAGAGGGGCTGGGAACCCCCATTGGCAAAGCATTTCAGCATCACATCGTTGCCATATGCCATGTGGCCCTCAGCCCAGCACATGGGAACCGCAGGACGTGCTGCAAGGAGGCAGGCAGTTGTGAGCCAGGGCCCAGCCAAGATGCAGAGCCAGGCTCAGAGTGGCCAAGCTGCCCTTGGCTCTGAAGCCTGGGGAATGGGAGCCCAGAAGAGTCTGACCATACCTTGGACAGTGACAACGACCTTCCGGGTGGCCGTGGTAGTCTTCTTCACCCGACACTCATAGGTGGCTGTGTCAGATACCTGCAGGTTCATGAGGTTGATGGAAGCATCATACTGGCTGGGGTCCGAGGCTGCAAAGCGGACCCTCTGCTGCAGATGGGGGAGGTTGCCATGGTTGATTCTCTTGTCCTGGTAACTAAGGAACTGTGAAGAAGAGAGGAAAACAGGTGGTGAGACAGGCAGAGCCAAGGAGGGCCATGTGGGTTGGCTGCTTCAGGCAATTCACTGAACTTCTCTGAGACTCAGTTTTCTCAGCTGAAGAATGGGAATGATGTTACCTGATCCAATGACCTCATACGTAATGGGTGAGATCAGATGAGATCAAGCACTTTGGAAAGTAAAAGGTCAGGCTGAGAACTTCTTGAGGGTGGGGACCATACTTCCCTTTGGAATGGGGTGGGAGGAGATGGACTCACTAGCCAGCTTGATTCACAGTTGCAGAGATTTCATTCCTTGAAAAGCCTTGCGGGAAGTTCAAGGTCTTGGTTTCCTTATTCGTCCTCCTTCTCTCCTCAGGGTGTTGGCTGCCCAACAGGTAGACACCATGAAGTGTGGAGAGAGAAGAACCCTGTGCCCAGCACTCACCACGTTTTCCCGACGTGAGGGGTCTGAGTTGACCTGCATCCACTCGATGTCCAGCCCACTGGGACCATAGTCTTCAGGGTCCAGTATGTAGGGGCAGCCCAGCCTCACATTATCACCCTCCGCCAGGTACAGGACCTCCTGGCCATCCCCGTTGATCCGCACAGCAGACAGCAGTGCTAAGGGGAAGGCAGAACAGGTGGGGTGAGGGGAGCAGAACCAGGGCTGAGTTGTCAGCTTCAGCCACTCCCTTCCACTGTTCTCTGTGTCAGCTGCAACCCAGGGCTCGGTGGGGGTTCCACAGGGAGGAAGGGCTGCTCCCAGTGTGTGTGTGTGCATGTGTGTGTGAATTGGTATAGGCGCGTCTGTGCACACTTGTGTTGCATGTTAATTCATGTGGCAGTGTCTCTGCATGCTTATGGACACGTATATATACTATGAATGTGTAGGTTTGCATCCAAATACTGTTTGTATATATATAGCTTTTATCCATACATGATTGTATGCATGTATGAATATGTATATATATGTACATTGTGTGCTTCTTAGTATTTATGGCTGCTGATGTGCACTGTAAGGATATTAATGCACATGGCCATGTAGAGTGTCTGCTTATATATTTACACGATAGCGTGGGCGAGTGTGTGGAAGGAACTCACAGAGTTGTTAAATGCTCTGACGGAAGAGCCTGGCTGGTTAATAGCCACCTACCTGTCTGAGCTCTGTCTGGGCCAAGTGAGGTGCTCCTGTCCGGAGGTAGGAGAATGGATACAGTGGCTTCTGGGGACCCTTTCCAGCAGGAGAAGCAGAAGACCGTGTGTGTCTGTGGACGACAGTGTGTGTCTGTGGCTGTATGCCTCTGTGTGGTATTGTGTGGTCGTGTGTGACATGAGCCTAAGTGCTCTAAGTGATAGTGAGGGCCCATTTGTAACAGCTGTGTCCAAGACCCTAGCTGTGTTCCTGTAATAGTGAGTGATGGTATATGCCTGAGACTGTGGCCACACCTATCTATCTGTGGGACAGTGTGAGCTTTGCGTGACATGTGGCATTATGGACCATGTGTCCTTCCCCTTGTGTGATTGCGTGGCTCAGGTACAGCCACCCCCACATGCTCACTCCCATTGGGGCCCCTCCTGCCACTGAGTCAGTGACAAGCAGCCCAGGGTGAGGAGCTAGAATCAGGAAGCTCAGGACTGAGCTCCTCTCCCTCCCTACCCTGAGCCCCAGGGGAGCAGTAGCCCCAACCGGTTGGACCTAGGAAGAGGATGTACCCAGGGCCCAACCCTAGGCACTCAGCATTCTGCCTCCAGTCTCCAGCAACCCTCCATCCTCAAGCCCCTTGCCCAGCCTCGCTCACTCTCCATTTACATTTGTTTTGGGTTCAACATGTCCTTTGGAGTCCCATCCCCAGGTGTCAGCAATCATTTTGTTCTGTCCTTCTCCAGCTCAGGACCACTTTCACACTAAGAGAGCATCTCACACATGCATACATAATCACACACTGTCTTAGGCAGACAAATCAACATGTAGACACACTCTTACAAGCTTTCAAAATGCAGACACACACCTGTGTGGTCCCACCTTCCTACACACACAGAAACTGTCCGATCCATGCAAACACAGACACACATCTGGACATAAACACAGGTACATAGAAATCCAAAAGATACGCCCACTGAATGTTCATATAGTCCCCATGTGCGTTCATTCCAGACCAGACATATCTGCAAAAGCCCTGCCTGGCAGACTTAGCCTGGCTCTAGAGAGGCCAGCAAGAGCCCTTTCAACACCCTCAACACCTCAGGGGTCACTGAATTCACCCCCTTGGAACCCTGGCTGGCTGGGCTGATAGCCATGCCCTAACCCAGCTAGACTCCAGGGAGACCTAGAGTGGGCAGGCTGGCTGCTGGGGCTCTAACGGGACCTGGTGATGCCTCCTCCAGCCCTAAGGCCAAGAGAATGCCATCTCATTCCTGAGATAAGGATCCTGATGCCATCTGCCAGATCCTGGGGCGGCACCAGGCAAGCCAGAGATGAGCCAGAACTCAGCTGAGAGCAGAGGCTCCACCCTGGGGAAGAGCTGCTGGAAGCAACCCACAGCAGGTAGGACTCTCTTTGCACACACCATGGGAGCCAGCCAGGCAGGAGGGTAAGTATTCAGGGAAAGGGGCTTAGGAAGGAGGGATGGGCTGGAAGAAAAGCGCCTCCACCCTGCCTAGGCTGAATGTCTTTCTTCAATTGTCCTGGGCCAGGGAGCCTCACCCCAGCTTTTCAATCTCCTTAGATGTTTTCTCAACCTCCTCCCAAGGGCTCCAGCCTTTCTGTACCCCCTCCCTCTCCTTGGGAAGTTGTTCCTCGTGTCTCACCTTGATTCCTCTTGCTGTGGTACTGAGAAAGTACTTCAAGGGAATGTGAGAGACGAGAGGGGCTGAAGAGAGGGAAGAAAGGCAGGGTGGAAATTTGGGTGGAGAGACTTGGGGAGAGAGGGGGGACAACAGGCTCTCCAGGAAGAGAACAGTGGTGACTAGTTGTCCCCCCGGAGAAGCACCAGGAGCTGGCCACCTTCTACTCCTCAATAGTAGTGTCTACTCTCAGCTTGTAAATCTTTTCTGAATTTTCAAGCTGGTCCCAGAACTCCTGACCATCCCTTTGGAGGTGGGAAGGGGAAGGGAAGAAAGGGGAGAAAAGGTGGCTCTCACAAGAGGGTATTGGTGCATCAGTGCACACAGTGCTGAGTACATCCTCACACACTCACAGACACACCCCACACACAGAGATGCCCCAGGTCCCTGCAGCACAGCCAGAGCTTCCTGAGTGGGCTCTGCCAGCACGGCTCTCACCAAAGAGGGTATTGCAGGCATTCTGCCAGAAATGCAATCATTCACACACGCACGTGCGCGCACACACACACACGCATGTACACGCACACATTCACACTCACCCAAAGACTGAAAATATTCTCCTTTTCTTGCACTCCTCCCTACATCCCTAAATCCCAAATCCAGACCCCGGGAGGGACTCGGAGCCAATTCCAGCAATTACCACACACCTTGCTGGGACTTGCCCCAACCTGGGGAGGCACCACGTTCTCCAAACCTGAGCCCTGCCTTCAAACAGTGCCCCAGTGAGGTGTGGGAACTATGGGAATCGCCATCCTCATCATCTTTGGCCTCCTCCTGGAGGGGGCACTACCCTGGCACTCTCACAGCACAGGGCCCAAATTGGGGGCCTTAGGCCTGAGCTCTCACTGGCTGTGATGGAAGCAGCCCACTCAGACTTACACCAGCCCTGGTCTCTTGCCCTTTCAAGGTGAGCAATTCTCCTGCCCTTGGCTCTGGCCTTGGGAGGCAGGAATAGCACTGGGAGTAGCACTGGGACTGTCTGGTGAAAGCTGATCACTTACAGGCTCCTCCTCAGCCCCCAGCAGCACTGCTGCTTACCTGACTCTCTCCTACCCTACTTCCAGTTCTGCAGGTGACTCCTAGCTAGCCCCATCCTCCCTTTCAAGTAGGTGCATGCAGGGCACCTGCACACGTGTGTGAGCTCCACAGGGCTCACGAACACCACTATGATGCACTCAGAGACCTCCACATCACAGACACATGCCCTAGACTTCAGACACAGGCTCTCCCAGGGACAGGGCCCTTCGGCAACATCCAAACCCGGTGGCAGCAGGGTGAGGGTGGGCAGTGCCCTATCAGGACACCTCAGGCCACCTTTGAGGCCATGAACCCTCACGGCCCCTTTCTCTGCCTGTCTGGCCCCACCCAGCCCCATACCTGGGCTCANGGGAGAGAGGGGGGACAACAGGCTCTCCAGGAAGAGAACAGTGGTGACTAGTTGTCCCCCCAGAGAAGCACCAGGAGCTGGCCACCTTCTACTCCTCAATAGTAGCGTCTATTCTCAGCTTGTAAATCTTTTCTGAATTTTCAAGCTGCTCCCAGAACTCCTGACCGTCCCTTTGGAGGTGGGAAGGGGAAGGGAAGAAAGGGGAGAAAAGGTGGCTCCCACAAGAGGGTATTGGTGCATCAGTGCACACAGTGCTGAGTACATCCTCACACACTCACAGACACACCCCACACACAGAGATGCCCCAGGTCCCTGCAGAACAGCCAGAGCTTCCTGAGTGGGCTCTGCCAGCACGGCTCTCACCAAAGAGGGTATTGCAGGCATTCTGCCAGAAATGCAATCATTCACACACGCACGTGCGCGCACACACACACACACACGCATGCACACGCACACATTCACACTCACCCAAAGACTGAAAATATTCTCCTTTTCTTGCACTCCTCCCTACATCCCTAAATCCCAAATCCAGACCCCAGGAGGGACTCAGAGCCAATTCCAGCAATTACCACACACCTTGCTGGGACTTGCCCCAACCTGGGCAGGCACCACGTTCTCCAAACCTGAGCCCTGCCTTCAAACAGTGCCCCAGTGAGGTGTGGGANTGGTGGGTGTGAGGGGGTGGGTGGAGGGAGGGGGAGCTGAGGGCCCAGACACTGCCTGGGGTGGCAGGAAGGTGCAATGAGTGCCCAGCTGGGAGCAGCTGGAGTTATTTCTACGGGAGGGAGGGGGCCTGGTCCCCGCCTTGGGGAGGAGTCCCAGGAACCCTAATTAGCGAGGTGACAGGGTGGCCTACCCAGGCATTGCCCAGCCCTCACCCAAGCTCTTCCCTGTGCCGAGAGTGGCGAAGGGCAGCCAGTGGGACTTGTAATTAGGCACCTGTTAAACCTCCACTTACTATTGGCCACGTCGTCCTCTGGGTGACAACAGTCGCCACATTTTACTGCATCCACGGAGCTCTCCTCACCACTCATTTTCTGCCTCCTTCCCTGGGGGAGATGGGGAAGAGGAAGGAGAAGCNAGGTGACTCCTAGCTAGCCCCATCCTCCCTTTCAAGTAGGTGCATGCAGGGCACCTGCACACGTGTGTGAGCTCCACAGGGCTCACGAACACCACTATGATGCACTCAGAGACCTCCACATCACAGACACATGCCCTAGACGTCAGACACAGGCTCTCCCAGGGACACGGCCCTTCGGCAACATCCAAACCCAGTGGCAGCAGGGTGAGGGTGGGCAGTGCACTACCAGGACACCTCAGGCCACCTTTGAGGCTGTGAACCCTCACGGCCCCTTTCTCTGCCTGTCTGGCCCCACCCAGCCCCATACCTGGGCTCA